AAAAAAATTCCAAAAAAAAAAAAAAAAAAAAAAAAAAAATGGGGGAAAAACAAAAAAAAAAAAAAAAAAAACGTAAGACGGAAACCAAGAGGTTGACCAGCACACATTACACGTCCCATCGCTCACTCATTCATGCAGAACAGTCCTGAGGGAAGGAAGGCACTCACACCTTGCCTTCTCCCTTTAGTTTTTCATTTTTCAGTTTTAATCAATAAAAATAAAAACAAACAAAAGATAGATACAGAGTTCATGGGCCCAGGGGGTGGAGCCAGGGCAGCAGTCACTCTGTAAGCAGTGGCGAGGGGGGCTCCACGCCCACCCTTACGTTCTCTGCTTAATGGCATTGCGCTCTCCATCTTTTCTCCGCCTCCTCCTCCACAGAGAGGGAGAATGAGAACTGATGCAGTTTGTGTTGTGGGGCGGCCCTCAAAACGACTGAAGAGGGGGGAGAAATAAAACGGACAGATGGAGAGAGGAGGGTGAAGTTGAGGGGGGTGGTGGTGGCGTTCCTCGACCTTTGATCCTGGCACACTTCCACAGAGACTGGGTCACCCGAACAGTCCCCACACACACTCGCACACACTCTGCACGCCACCAGGACTTCCCTGTCATGAGATCACATGCATGCAAGTAAGATTTTGTATTCTGATGTGTGAACTTCAATAAAATTCAGTCAAAACATGTGCTACCTGCTATCTGGATATATAGGTATACGTGCGGGACGGCGATCGTCCTTCCGTCTGCCCGTTGGTCGACACATTGAGGAAGTCCCAGATAAGGATAGTGTCATCGTGGGAACTGCTGATGATCTGGAACTCATCGAATTGGAGCCGGAACACTCGGCCAGAATGTTCCTACACGTAGACAGACTGCTATTAAAACAATCCTTTCACGACAACACTGCTGCAGATCAAAATCAGTCACAGACTGGGAATGACGTAACGCAAGACTATGGTGCAATAAATGTGTGACAATGCACAGGGCTGATTAACTACACATGACTGAGATGCGTAACAGATCAGAGACTGTCAGGATTAAATAACAGAGCAATTAATTGGCTGATATTTGGGCATTTGAGATTATTGATAGCAACGTAGCATTGTACACATTTAAAGATTTGTCCTTAAAAAAAAATACTTGAGAGCCTGAAAACAAGTCAGATGTTTAGAGAAAATTAATTGAGAGCATGTATACGGGTTCTTAAAGGGATAGTTCACCCAAAAATGAAAAGTTGATGTTTATCTGCTTACCCCCAGGGCATCCAAGATGTAGGTGACGTTGTTTCTTCAGTAGAACACAAACAACAATTTTTAACTCAAATCGTTGCAGTCTGTCAGTCATATAAAGGCAGCTCGTGACGATACATTGATGTGTAAAGACACGAAACAATCGGTCTGTGCAAAACACTGAACAGTATTTATATAGTTTTTGTAACTCTGATTCACTGCAATGTCCGAACTGTCCTGAGTGTGTTCTCAACAGTCGACGCGTCTTCTTGCTTTACAGCGGATTGCAGGACAGTTCGGACATTACGGTGAATCAGAGGCAAAAAAAACAATATAAATACTGTTCAGTGTTTTGCACAGACCGATCGTTTCGTGTCTTTACACAACAATGTATCGTCACGTGCCACAGGGTTTAATATGGTTTTGTTTGTTTTTTTTACTCTCAAAGCTGTGATTCCGATTCACTTCCCTTTATATGACTGACAGACTGCAACGATTTGAGTTAAAAATTGTTGTTTGTGTTCTACTGAAGAAACAAAGTAACCTACATCATGGATGCCCTGGGGGTAAGCAGATAAACATCAACTTTTCAATTTTGGGTGAACTATCCCTTTAAGCGCTGTGTGGAAACTCACCACTAGTGTACGTAGACACAGAGTGCTGGCTGGGGCTCGTGGATCGAGAGCAGCTTGTAGGTCCCATACTTTAATTTTACTGCATACACACACACACAAACATATTAAAACGCATTAGAAAATGCACAAAAAAATATGACCATCATAAATCTATGGTACATTGGTTAAAATGCCCGCTCTCATTCTTTTGTAAAGCAGCTTTAGAGGCGATTTCACACATAATCTACAGATAATCTGCGATTCAATTGTGGGCTTTGTGGGATTAAAAGTGACTGCTCCCTCAGCAGTGTGGGTATTGTGCACTGCTCATGTATCAGATTAATGACCGGAGCACAGGGAGCAGACAAATCCAACTCCGCAATTAAAGATGTGAAAATAAAGAGATTATTCACATCATGGCAAGGAATAGACCAGCCATAATAGATCCAGATTAAAAAAAAAAAAAAAACCCTGCTTAAATGTAATCCCCCAGACTACACTACACTTCTGCAACAGCAGTGTGAGGAGATCAAGGAAAGAGTTTGCTAATATATTTATTTTAAAATGTGCATTTCAATCTCCAATGTTACAAACTTTTTTTTTTAGACTTTTTACAAGAACTTCCCCTCAGTCTTATTTGATGAGTGGATTGTGCGTGACTCCCAGCTTTGCTGCAGTTTGCCGATTTTTGTAAAAAAAAAAAAAAAAATACAAAAAAAAAAGTTCCCTTTTCAAATAAGAGAGTGGTTTCAGTTTACAGGGTTTCCGCAGGTCCTTACAAAGTCTTACGTTTAGTTGTGCCAAATTTAAGGCCATAAAGAGTCTTAAATGCTATAAGAAAGTCTTAATTATGATTTCAATATGCCTTAAATTTGGGGACGGAAAGAGCAGAATTGCGATATGGCTTAATGTGATGACTGAACTTCAAAAGGCTGTGATTTCATAAAAAAAAAAAAAATCATGAGCTCTGCACATTTCAGAGTCAGGTGCTGCTCGGCTTTGTGTACAGCCGTTACCTGGGAAACCGCTGTATTTCTGCCATTCCAAAAGCTCTAC